GTCTGTCCACACGCACATGCCCACCATCAGAGTTGCCAGGGGCACTGGGAAACCACGGCGCGTTTGGGCAGAGGTGCGCAGAGAGCCAGTTTAGATGAGATTCCTGCACCCGGGGTTTTCAGCCTGGCATCTTTCTCCACCACTCAAAGCAAAGCTTTTCGTTAAGGATAGGCTGAGCTGCTTGGAGCAGGGCTGCCGTTGCGAGCTGTCCGTGCGCGCGCGTGGCCCGTAGCGCCGTCAGGCTGCTGGGCTCTCGTGCGGTACGGGTGCGGACGGTGAGTCGTGTGACCGGTTGTTCTCCTCCAGCCTGCCATGCACAAGCCATGATGGCTGTCTAGGCTACTGCGGGGAACGTTTCAAAACAGAGGGGAGAGTTTCAGATTTAGCCTCTAGTAAATATAAGTTACATATGCAAATAATTCTTTAGTTGGGAAACTACCTCTTCTTTTTACTATTTGAAAAGTCAGATAATGTCAGAATCTGAACTAGCGTCACTGTTTCTGGTGCTTCTGTTTCTGCAGTTCGCTGTTTGGAGAAGTAAAGTTCACTAACCACAGCCTGTGTTCAGAGTGCCAGTGCTGAAAGGAGCATCCCACAGAGTCTGGTTTTTAAAATTCCATGTTCAATATTTATATTTATTTTCAACTTTGATTGGTACGCTGTAGAGGCTAATCCTGCAAATATTTACACAAGTCACGCTTTCTGTATATAGTTCATAGGAGCTCAATGGGAGCTCACCTTAATGAAGGCACATGTTCTGCAGTAGCATTTATTTTGGACTGAGCATTGAAAATGTTAGTTGCATCTGCTAGCCAGATTTTTTTTCAGTATATGTGTGCACACACATATACATACAGACACACACACGTATGATGATTATTTTAGGTTCTGAGAGAGAAAGAATATTCAAACAGTCACTTACTGATCTCCACCTGAGAGAAGGCTCAGTGAGATAGAAAACAGCAGCATGGTGAGTATTCTTTTATGGCATCAATGATACCCTAGACGATTGTTTCTAACAGAATCAATTATAGCATTAAAAATTGGAGATTTTTTCAAAACAAGTTTTAGATACATGGATGCAAGGTCCATTTTTTCGTTTCTGAAAAACGTCCCACAAACAACTTTTCATATATCCCGTTTCCCTTTGATGCAAGTAGTGCTGCGGATTTGACAGGTAACAGAAGCGTGAGCCCTGTTGGCTGTGGGGAGGTGGGAGACCGAGAAGCTGATTCCTGACACTTTCCCTTGTTATTTTCCGTGAGTACAGAATTGTCCATGGGTACGAGCTCGCTTGGATCACAGGGCTCAGCCTGGCAAACAGAGCTGCACTGCAGCACGTTACCGCCCCGTTAGCGGAGCGGTGGTCACTGCTGGCATGGTTCAGTGAGTCTTAGTCTCAGCTCGGGTGCGGGTTTAGGACGCGCACGTGAACAGCTGCTGTTGCTCAGCTGAGGGGTGATAAATTCTTAAGCTGAGCTACTCGATCAGGACTCAGAGCCCACAGGTACGCATAAATTATATCTAGAATAAAGCCATCATTCCAGGACCACACCCACAAACTACCCTCCAGGTCTTCAAAGTGGACAAATTTATTGTAAAGAATGAACAAATTGGTTTTTAAAAAGAATCATTAGAGCATTCACTGATCTACAATTATTGCTCTATTGAGGTGGGGCAAGAAACAGTCCCCAGGGCTGCTGTTTTATGCACATCCTCTGTCACATAAGTTATCTCCAATGCATTTTTACAGAATGAGAGGGTCAGTGATGGAAGGTGCAGCGATGCCAGTTCACTTCACGTGGATCTTTCCAGTCTTGTGACCTGGGCACACTCTCATGGGACCATATGCAATCAAATCCCTGCCTTGGGAATTGTACAGAACATGGGTTATCCTAGCAAGGACAATTCCGTTCTGTGGATATGTGGAGTTGGACATGCGTATCACTGGCAATGTGGAAAACTGTATGTCAGAAGAAGAGAAGAGAATGAAACTGTAGAAATGAGAAAGAGGTCAGCGTCTTCTGAGGCTTCATCAAGGGAAGATAATTTACATGAAAAGAGGTTCAGGATGACCCCATCTTTTAAGAGGGCAAAGGCAGAGGCTGCCAGCACAGGGTCATGTAGCAGATCTCCAGGGGTCACTCAGCAGAGAGACAACATAGTCTACATAATACATAATGAACCATTACCCGAAGAAATTATAAAAAATAGCAAATCCGTGAAATCATGCTTTGGAGCAGAGCAGCACTTGTCACTGTCTGGTGGTGAGGTCAAAACTGACAGACATAAGGTGAAGCTAGAAAGCAATGATGATTTACAAATCCTCTCTGATGAAGACCAGCGTGTGTCAGATGAAGACGACCAAGGAGACAGAATCAACCAGCACGTTCTGTCAGAAGCACCAGTTCAAGGTGTAACTGCCGAGGTAGATTTGCAAATGCATCGCAGTCAGAAGACGGCACTGAAAAAACAAACAGCTGCCCAAACAT